CTTTTTCGTCGATCACATTTAATTAATTAATTTAATTAAACAACCAGTTTTATTTTAATAATTCCCAATTTTGTCCCGGTATTTCTATAGGGAATTTTTAAATAAACATTTAACTTCAATCGTATTAAAGTCGGGAAAATAAGACAGGGTGAAATAATTACATTTGGAAATTTAGTATTGATTTTTTCCATGGCGACTAAAACAACTAGAAAACAGAATATCTTTCGTTAACGAATATTTAGAACTTATTTATAGCCTCTAAATCACATAATTGTTTTAGTCATACAAAAATAAATCTTCGAGGTATTGTAACAACTGACCATTGATCAAATTCAATAAGCATTTTGTTTTCATTACTAAATTTAGCCCAATACAATAAACTTGAGGTACAAAGTAAGGTATTGGTCGGGTTCAGACGTTACTCTATGGGTAAAAATTGGTTGAGGTTAGACTAGAGGACATGGGTGAATATTGGTCGGGTTTATACTTGAGGTGTGCACAAAATTTCGTCGAGGTTAAATTTGATGCCATGGATAAATATTGGTCGGATTAATACTTGATATATGCATAATATTTGGTCGAGGATAAATTTGAGACCATGGGTAAATATTGGTTCGGTTTATACTTGAGGTATGCATAAAATTTGGTCGAGGTTAAATTTGAGAACATGGATAAATATTGGTCGGATTTAGACTTGAGGTATGCATAAAAATTGGTCGAGGATAAACTAGAAACAATGTGAAAATATTGGTCGTGTTTATATTTGAGGTATGAATAAATTTTGATCGAGGTTAACCTGGAAGCCATGGGTAAATATTGGTCGTGTTTACTCTTGAGGTATGCATAAAATTTGATCGAGATTAAATTTGAGCCTATGGGTAAATATTGGTCGCGTTTACACTTGTGGTAGGAATGAAATTGTGCCGTATTTAAATTTGAGGCCGTAGGTAAATATTGGTCATGTTTACACTTGAGGTATGCATAAAATTTGGTCGAGTTTAAATTTGAGACCGTGCGTAAATATTGGTCGGGTCTATACTTGAGGTATGCATAAAGTTTGTTAGAGGTTAAACTAGAGGTCATGGGTAAATATTAGTCGGGATTATACTTGTGGTAGGAATAAAATTGTGCCGTGGTTAAATTTGAGACACTGGATAAATATTGGTAGGGATTATACTTGGGGTATGCATAAAAATAGGTCGAGGTTAAATTTGAAGTCATGGGAAATATTGGTCGGGCTTATATTTGATGCATGCCTAAAATTTGGTCGAAGTTAAACTAGAGGCCATGTGTCAATATTGGTCATGTTTATATTTTAGGTATGCATAAAATTTGGTGGAGGTGAAAACTAGAGGACATGGGTAAATATTGGTCCTGTTTATACTCGAGGTATAAATAAAATTTGGTCTAGGTTAAAGTAGTGGCCATGGTAAATATTGGTCAGGATCATACTTGAGGTATGCATAAAATTTGGTCAGGGTTAAATTTGAGGCCATGTGTAAATATTGGTCCGGTTTACACTTGAGGTAAGCATAAAATTGTTCGAGGTTAAATTTGAGACCATAACTAAATATTGGTCGGTTTCATAACTGAGGAATGCATAAAATTTGGTCGAAGCTAAACTCGAGGCCATTGGTCAATTTTAGTCGTGCCTATACTTACTGTATGCATAAAATTTTGTCGAGGTTCAACTAGAGGGCATCGGTAATTATTGGTCCTGATTATACTTGAGGCATACATAAAATTGGTCGGGGTTACACTAGAGGCGATGGGTAAATATTGGTCGTGTTTATACTTGAGGTATGCATAAAATTGGCCCTATATTATATTAAATTTGTGGCCGTGGCTAAATATTGGTCATGTTTTACTTGAGTTCTATAGATAAATTCCGTCGTGATTATACCTGTAATAATGGGTAAAAATTGGTCGGCATTAGACCTGTGTCAATAGTTTATTATTGAAATCATTTGTATTTACTATAAGTCTGTCCTACGTATATATATATATATATATATATATATATATATATATATATATGATGAATAGAATTCTTTCCGAGTTATTAGTGATAGTTTTTAAGCATTGTTTACTTTTTGATTTATTGGAAACACCAGGTTTTACTTATAAGAAGTGAGCATAAACTCCTCAACTGGGGAGTATATACTCATGATTATTCATTTTAAATTGGTTTTGATGGATGTGTGATACGAACGAATGGAGTTGTTAGGAAGTAAAGTCCATGAGAATAAAGAGGAACGATAGTGATTAACCTTTGACTTGAAAGAGGTCAAGATTAGAGTGTTTAGTGAAGCACTCACGCGGGAGTACGTTCTACAAAGCGGCATTTCTTGGGGTGAGGTAACTCTTTGAGTTGAAATTTCTTCTTCAATTTACGACTCGGAGGAAATGATGGTGAATCGTCTCCATGGATATTGCATGCCGTGTTCTTGCCAAAAAGATCTGAACTGGTGGAACTAAAATAACGGATCTCATCTGGATATTTGCCATGGAAACAGGGGTAGAGTAGCGACAGGAGAAGCAGGGCAGAAATTGGATGATAAGTCATCACCCACAAGGCCGCGTAAGCAATTTTGAACTCTAAGACTGGAAAGTGGCATGTACGTATAATTTAATTTGCTGACACAGTTATTCAAGTTTTGAATACAAAGGAACAAGATGAGCTTTTTGCAGGTAATTCGATATCATTTGGAAGGTTGATTTGTTTTCTACGGTTTATCAACCTTTTCAGGTTATTTAAAGCCAGAAAACCTTTATTTTTGTGAGGGTTATAAATATTTAATGATACCAGTCCTACTAATTAACCCATAGTTAGGGAAGAAGAGGTGGAATCGTACCTTTCCCAATGGAATTTAAGCATAAGTGAATATAATGAACCCAGCTGGTATTGGAACTCAACTCTCCAATTTCCAATTCTGAGTTATTATCCATTACACCGCCTGCACATCCAGCTTACAGCACTTGGTATTTTTAGGCGTATACACATCTAGGTACTGACTAGGCTCGATGCTGTTTGATTTAGTTGATCCTACAAGAACCGGTGATTCAGCGTGATATGTCCGAAATGATTTGGAAGAATACCGCTGAAGAAACCCAAGAGTAACTTTAGAAAAAGAAAGGAGTTCAAACGAATAGGAACCAGAACATAGAGGAGTGAATTTCAAAAAGAGACATGTTACCAAATCCAAAAGGCTCCAAAGAAAGGCGAATCGCAGAAATAATGCCAAACTAGTTACATTCCATAATTGCCAGTCGAACCCCGGACTATGAACGGGGATGCTCTGTGCCTTGATAATCTTTCTTTTTATGTGCGATGTCATTTCCGGGCGTAGGTGGTCATGGCTCTCCACCTCCCTCTATTCCTTGCATCTCTCAAAAAGTTCCTTCCCTGTGCTTCCTCCCCCAGACCACGTTCTGTCATCCACTTGCTTAAGTCTGCCAGGTATGTCACACGTTGTTTTCTCTTGTCTCTCTTTCCCTCTATTCGACCCGTGAGTATCAGATTTTCCAGGCCCTCCTTCCTCGTTATGTATCCCAGAAACATCAGCTGCCTCTTCCTGATATTAAGTATAAGCCTCCTCCTTGTTTGCTATCTCTTTAAGATCTCATCGTTGCTCAGACGCTCTGTCCATAATATTCTTAGCATCCTTCTGTAGAACCACATCTCCGTCGCATCGAGTCTCTTCTTCATCTCTGAGAAAATGGTTCAACATTCGCTGCCATAAAGAAGGACAGATGTCACGTAACAGTTCAGTATTCTTTTCTTTGTTACCAAAGAAATCCTGCTGTTTCGCAGTACTCTGTCCAGCTTTTCTAATGTTTCTTTGTCCATCCCAATATGTTTACGGATTCCGGTGACTCACACCCGATCTCAAATGAAACTCATACATACGATCCAGCACTAAAGATGCAGGACATATGCTCAGCTCCCTATAGCGTTCCAGTAAGTACCTGACTCCTCATGCTGTCTTCTACCTTTAGAGCAGACCAAGAATGGACTATTGTCATCCTACATCCTATTTGAGCGGGAGCTGCCCAGTCCTCACTTTCCAGTCTTGATAGAGTTCAAAGGCGTCTCCGAGTGCTTGTGGGAGAAGAATGATTTTCCACCCTTCAACCTCTCTCTCACAGGCGCAGTGTAGCGAGTCTCTCATTGCTCTTTCGCTACTCCCGTGGAAAGTGCACGGACGAACTACTTTCCTTGGTCCCGTCAGGTCAAACCTTTACAGCTAGGACCCGCCATGCCACTTCCATTGTAGTAAAGCACCTACATTCCTTCCGTATTTCATCGCTGAGAAGTAAGTTCCACTAGAACAGCTTTTTCCTGCGAACCACTGCTTTGTGGAACATACGCCCAAGTGGATCTTAATCTGTTCACGTCTAGGGTTAACCGTTATCTTCCCCTACTATCCGTATAAACTTCCTCTGAATGTAACCCTCTACCTCGGGTGGCCCTCGGGCCTTGTACCGGGCGAACTTCAATCTAAAGAAAATAAAATAAATAAAGACGAGAAACTCGGTCTATAAGAAACAATAATAAAATGATAACGACATATTGTTCAAGAATTTCGGAGGGAAAAGGAGGGTGAAAACCAGGAACATTTTATGACAAAAACTAGAAGAAAAAGATACAAAAGAAGTCATTTATTCTAGAAAAAAAAACCCAACTAGAATAGAAAATACAGATCAAAGTGTAAAGCAGAGAAAAAATATGACTGGTGATGCAAGAGAGCGAAAGGATTGAATGTATATAATTGTAAAAACACCTTGATTCCGAAAAGCGTCGAGAAATATGGCCGCTTTGTAAAGAGGCGGAAGATTTGGCAAATTGCCAAAAGCAATCAATGGTTAATTTTAAGATCTCGGCTCATAAAGAAAGGCAGAAATAAAACCAAATTCTAAAAGACAAGATACAGATGGGTTGAAAAAACAATGAATTTAGGAAAATGATTGAATATATAAATATAAAAGAACAAACAAACGTCGGCTCAAAAATACAGATAGATATATATATATAGAGAGAGAGAGAAAGAGAGAGAAAGAAAGAGAAAGAGAGAGAAAAAGAGAGAGAAATACAGAGAGAGAGAGAGAAATACAGAGAGAGAGAGAGTGAGAGTAAGGCAGAAGGAGAAACAGAGAGAAAGAGAGAAAGACAGACAGACAGAGAGATAGAAAATAAGAGAGAGAGAGATAGACGTACAAAGATACAGAGAGAGAAAGAGGGAGAGTGACAGAGAGAGAAAGAGGGAGAGGGGCAGAGAGAGACAGACAGAGAGAGACAGACAGAGACAGACAGTGAGAGAAAGAAAAACGGAAAGACAGACAGAGACAGAGAGAAAAAGATAGAGATAGAGAGAGAAAGAAATACAGAGACAGACAGAAAGAGAGAGAGAGAGAGACATACAAAGATACAGAGAGAGAAAGATAAAGAGGGAGAGAGGCAGAGAGAGAAAGAGCGGCAGACAGAGAAATAGACAGACAGACAGACTGAGAAAGAGGAAGAAAGAGACAGACAAACAGAGAGAGAGAGAAAGAGAATGAGAAAGACAGACAGAGAGAGAAACACAGGGAAGAAAACAGAGACAGGGATAGAGAGAAAAGAGAGGGAGAAAGACAGCGAGAGAGACAGAAAGAGAGAGAGAGAGAGACATAAAAAGATACAGGGAAAGAGACAGAGGGAGAAAGATAAAGAGGGAGAGTGACAGAGAGAGAGAGAGAGGAAGAGAGAGAGAGGGGGCAGACAGAGAGACAGAGAAATAAAGAGATAGACAGACAGAGAAAGAGAAAGGGTGAGAAACAGATACAGGGAGACAGAGAGAGAAAAAGAGAGACAGAGAAAGAGAGAGAGACATAGAGAGAAAAAGAGAGTGAGAGAGTCTATAAATAAAAGTAGCATTTTAGAAAAAAAACAATATTAATGGCGGGAAAGTAAAGCAAGACTAAAATGTATAAAAGAGGAAAAGTTGAGAAAGATTATGAATTTCTTGGTGTAGCAGTTATCATTATTTACATCATTCGGACTATTGTCCTCATCTTTGTCGCCATATTTATTACAACGATCGTTGTACGCTCTGGTCTTCTTCAGGTGGGTGGAATGTCGAACTGAACCCTTTATTTCGTTCACTGGGATAGACTGTTCTAGTTCCACGTGCCATGTCTAATGGATGTCAGTTATCAGTTATCTCCTGTTAATTCCCCTCTCCAAGTTCTCCACTGCCTTAACCGGGTATTGAACTCACACTCTTTGGTTCAGTTCGACATTCCAATCACCTGATGAAGGCCAGAGCGTACAACGGCCGAAACGTTATGGCGACAAAGATGAGGACAATAGTTCGAATAATGTAAATAGTGTACATAATACCTCATCTCAGAAATATAGACAGATACTGAAAGGCCGAAACGTTGTAATAAATATGGCGACAAAGATGAGGACAATAGTTCGAATAATGTAAATAGTGTACATAATACCTCATCTCAGAAATATAGACAGATACTGAAAGGCCGAAACGTTGTAATAAATATGGCGACAAAGATGAGGACAATAGTTCGAATAATGTAAATAGTGTACATAATACCTCATCTCAGAAATATAGACAGATACTGAAAGTCCGAAACGTTGTAACAATTATGGTGACAAAGATGAGGACAATAGTTCGAATAATGTAAATAATGTACATAATACCTCATCTCAGAAATATAGGCAGATACTGAAAGGCCGAAACGTTGTAATAAATATGGCGACAAAGATGAGGACAATCGTTCGAATAATGTAAATAGTGTACATAATACCTCATCTCAGAAATATAGGCAGATACTGAAAGGCCGAAACGTTGTAACAATTATGGTGACAAAGATGAGGACAATAGTTCGAATAATGTAAATAATGTACATAATACCTCATCTCAGAAATATAGACAGATACTGAAAGGCCGAAACGTTGTAATAAATATGGCGACAAAGATGAGGACAATAGTTCGAATAATGTAAATAGTGTACATAATACCTCATCTCAGAAATATAGACAGATACTGAAAGTCCGAAACGTTGTAACAAATATGGTGACAAAGATGAGGACAATAGTTCGAATAATGTAAATAATGTACATAATACCTCATCTCAGAAATATAGACAGATACTGAAAGGCCGAAACGTTGTAATAAATATGGCGACAAAGATGAGGACAATAGTTCGAATAATGTAAATAGTGTACATAATACCTCATCTCAGAAATATAGACAGATACTGAAAGTCCGAAACGTTGTAACAATTATGGTGACAAAGATGAGGACAATAGTTCGAATAATGTAAATAATGTACATAATACCTCATCTCAGAAATATAGACAGATACTGAAAGGCCGAAACGTTGTAATAAATATGGCGACAAAGATGAGGACAATCGTTCGAATAATGTAAATAGTGTACATAATACCTCATCTCAGAAATATAGACAGATAGCAGTTATCATTATTTACATTTTTTACGCTCAGACTACCATCCCCATTTTTTACGCTCGGACTACCATCCCCATTTTTTACGCTCGGACTACCATCCCCATTTTTTACGCTCGGACTACCATCCCCATTTTTTACGCTCGGACTACCATCACATTTGGGCTGCTCTGGCATTTGGCCTTCTTCAAGTGCTCGTTGATCAGGGTAACCTTCGGGAAATATGGACGTTCTCAGTACAAACAACATTCTTCCAACTGGAGTCCTAAACGATTCCCGAAACGTCCAAGTTCACACACACACACACACACACACACACACACACACACACACACACACACACACACACAGAGAGAGAGAGAGAGAGAGAGAGAGAAGCACAAACACACACAAAAACACGCACACAAACACACGCACACACACACAAACACACACACAAACACACAAACAAACACAAACACACAAACACACACACACACACACATACACACATACACAAAATTCCCCCTGGTTCTTTTGAACTGGAGTAGAGATTTAATCCTTTTCCTGTTTAGGACTGTATTTCCGGTTTCTTTCTAAAGACTTCTGTGAGGAGGCACGGTGGCGTAATTGATATCGGCTCGGATTGAGGAATAAGAGAGCCGGGTTCGAATTTCAGTCAAATCCATTTCATTCACTTATGTGCTAATAACATTGGGAAAGTTATGAATTCTCTTCTTCTCACCCCCCAGCTATGGGTAAATAGCAGGACCGACCGGGTTCTATAACCTTAGATAGTAACTGGTCTATCGCTGAAAGAAATGGCAACCTACTGCGGGAAAAAAATTCTACCTCGTCAGTCAAGTATCAAAAGATACATGATCGCCTAAGAGTGTATCAGTGACTCTAAAGACTTCTCATTCACTTTTATGGCCAGTAGCCCCTTGCGTCTTAGTGGTATTATTGCCTTGCTTGGGGTGGATTGTAAAAATCGGTTTACAAAAAAATTGCTGTTCAAACTGTGATTTGGAAACCGAATCAAGTGACGCATCCAAATTGAAGGACTCTAGTGAGGCAGGCAAATTAAAAAACCAGGGCCAAGGGAGTTACCGGATGAAACGCACGCACAAGCAGTTATCAACTCCAATACTAGTTTCATAGGAAGGGAATATAGGATGTAAAAAAGGCGAAAAGGTTAAAGGCGATCCTTCTTTTTGTCTATGGGAGTGACACGTTTTTCCCAACTGAAAGACCTGGTCACACCTCAAGCCTAAAAGCTCAAAGTTACGAGGAACTCTCGCTCACATTAAAAGAATACTGAACTTCAGCAACATCCGTTATTGTCATACGATTAAATTTCTATATGTGACGTAAACGTCCGGGTCAAACTGTTTCGGGTTTCATTTAAACGAAAATTCTAAATTTGGTGAACACAGTAGCAGACATACTGAAAGATTTGCTGGTCGTGGGAGACACGGACGATTCTATTCACAAGGCGTCTTACCACAGAGAGCAAACTGCAACATCCTCAGTCTAGATATAATCGAAAAATCGCTGGCAAGACTGCTGGAGACATTGTGGCTCGTCAAACCCCCCAAATATATAATCGCAAACCTGTTTGGACAACCCATTCACTCTGGATTTAGAAACTATAAACGAAAATTGTTCCCGATGAAATAGAAAATATTCTTCAGACTCATGTCGTTACAAAGAGGCAACCCACAATTTGTGTCATAAAAGGTCACGTTGCACCAGTCTCTCTATGACCCGAAAGCAAATAGAAAAAAACAACAACAAAAAACCCCCGAAAACCGAAGAACTCATAGTGTAGAACCAGCAAATTAAACCATTCCTGCTACAAGCATTTTTTAAAACATTTCACTCAAAAAAAGGCAATAAAGCCACTAAGACTCAAGAGGTTACTGAGTGTTAGAGAATATGAAAAAATACTGTCAAGGAGAGAGGTCAATAAAAGATCAAAAATTATGAAGACAGACAATAACGGTTGACATTGCATTTAAATTTTTGAATATCAAACTTGATTAGGAAGCAAGAAGCCGTCAGAGATTTCCACGACAAACGAGAAGTGCGATAGAAGAAACCGTTAGCATAGAACTTACGGTTATAATCTAGTCATTTCAACTGTAATATAATGAGACCTAGCTGCCAATCTAGTACTGCGCTTAAATTCATAGACTCTAGGTGCCATAGAGGAAAGTCCATCAGAACGATTACCACGAAAGTATTCATAAAAAAGGCAGAGGGAAGCTACGTTACGGCGGTGGGAAAGATGCCAGGTCAGGACTAATAACATTGCAGATACTTCTTTCGGTTTTATCAAGGACCTCTAAATGTATGCCGGGATTACCAGACCAGATGTGGCAGCAATATTCATAGCAAGGACAAATGGTAGATTTATAAATAGGCAAAATTGATTCTGGCTAGAAAGAATGTCTAGCACGACAAAGTGAACCAACTTTCCTAGCAGCGGACTTAGAAATTGATTCAATATAATATCTCCACCAAAGATGAGGACAATAGTCCGAATAATGTAAATAACGAAAAGAGAACAGTTTCGCTTCCGAGGCGTTAAAATTAAAATTACCCGGGGTTTTATCTAGCCATCTCTATGAAAATTATTCGTTCATGTGCCATTAGCTGAAGACTGAAAACAATAACTTACTATCAATGCAACACATAGACATTACAGGTTCAGCCATCTACGTCTGGGCTAATGTCAGTTCCAGCTATCTAACATCGCTGAATAGATATTCTATTTGCAAATGGAACATATATGTCAGCGATCAGGATGATGTATTGATGGCAGGACCGTCAGCCGTCATATCATTTGGTCAAATCTTGATAGAGTGCCAAGGAAGCTTACCAAATATTGTCTATGCGTTCGCCTGAAGAAAAAGTGTTAATTTATGGCACCATCCATAATCTGGATCATTGGATTGATTCTAAAGGCTTACAGAAGACAAATCTGTACCATCTGGGATGCACCAGTCCCGCATAATGTGACAGGATTTTCTGGCTTTATCCCAGTTTTTAAATACTAAATCTTCACCCAATACAAGGCTCAAGATCCCTCAAGGTAGAGTATTACTAAATATGTCGTACGAGAGGAAAGGGGGAAATAAGTGCAGATACATGCAATAGCTAACAGTTGAACAGATTTGAACAAATTAGGATTGTAATGTTCTGGGAAGCATCATCTTGGGAGTCTGTTCCATGAAGTAGAAGATCTTGGAAAGAAGCTGTTCTTTCTTTTATTTTACAGTAATGTTCACCCTGTACAAGGCCCGTGGGTCACTCCTGGTAGAGGGTTATATTAAGATACAGTTTATACGGATAGGAAGGGAAGATAACGGTTAGACCTGGACTTGAACAGGTAAAGATTCTATTGATCAGGGAGACATCCTCTTGCGAGTCTGTTGCACAAAGCTATAGTTATCCGAGTGGAA